AGGGCCGCGGCGCCGCGCGGGGCCTCCTGCCTCCCTCCGAGGCGCTCCAAGCCGGGGGCTCCCGCTGCCACTCGCTCTTCGTGTCCCCTGGGCTTCTCCCGGGCTCTCTGCGGGAAGGGCCTTCACGTCCCGTCTCGTCCCGTCCCGTCCTGGGCGGCTGTGCAGAGCARCCCCTGCCGGGCACGGCGAGCCGGGGACGAGGCCCGGGCGGCCGTCGCCTCCGGCCGTTTCCCCACAGCCCAACAGTAACCGCAGCCCAGCAGCAGCCTCTGAGGCCGTGTTTAAATKAGGGCGGCTCCTTTTCACCCCGCGGCAGGGCAAGGCTGCCCCTGCTGGCATCTCCTCTTTGCCTCCTCGTCTGACGTGAAGATCCACCAAGCAGCCAAAGTCCTGGATGAGATTTTAGGGTACCATGCTCTGTGTTATCTCTACGATAATACAAACCTCATGCTGTAAATGAGGACAGCGTATGGTTGTGGTCCGCAACCCTGTTTCACAAGCCAAGGTGCCACCCCTGGTAGGAAGGAGATGACCTAGGAAAAGCACTAGTGAATCTCTGTAACCACAGAAGCAATAGAAAAGAGAACTATCCAGGTCTCCATACTTCTAAATCAGAGCTATTGGCAACAGCAGGTATACCCCAACACACTGCACTTACTTTTAAGGACAGTGGTTACACCTGTATTCTAAATGATCAAGMAACTTCTAACAAGGAGATGTCAGAAATAAGTAGTCTCACAGGTTGCCACAGAAAGTACATCCATTTAGGGCGTTTTTTTTCCTTTTTATTATGTTTTTATAAGGACAAAGAATATGAATTACGGAGAACCTTACCTCAGTAAAAATATTTTCTTTTTCATCAGSAAGTATGACTGAATGGCAAGGGATTCATTATAGTCAAGCGCGAGGAGGCTACTGACTGCCAGCAGGGCCCCACCATAGTTTAAGTTTCATGGGACTACCATATAATTACCTGCTTTTAAATGACACCTAAACAACCAGCAAATATTCCTACTTTGTTTGATAGATATTCCTATTGACTGGTTGTATGGCAAAAAGCAAAGAACCAGGGAGGACACTGAACACACCTGCTCTGTTCTTGTCCTCGCTGCCACCAGGCGCCCGTGCCAGAASTGTTGGATCAGATTAGAGAAAAATTCACGTAATTCTGACTCCAGGAGCACCCTATCCTCTTGACATTGGTAAATACAAGCCTTGTCTGTCACAGAATTGCAAAATGACTCACTGGCTATACCTTAAGAGTTCCTAAAACATCCCTCTTCATCCTCAAAGCAGACCTAARTATGCAAAATTTCTACTGAGTTGAGGACTAAATGGGATGCTCAGAATCCAGTCTCTGGTTTTATGCACAATGATTTTTACAAGACAACAATAAGTACAGAAACTGAGAACTTCATATAGGAAAAGGAGTTAGTTAACCTTTATTTTATTTCTCCATAGTCCCAAGCTTGACAGGTGTAGAAAAATATTTTGGAAGTAGACAAATTTACCAATGCTAAATAGCCCTTTCCTCTGACTATTTGGGCAATTCTAGATACATTTGTACAGGCATTACCTCTTTTTTTTCATGAAAGATTTTGCCAAACAATAAACGATTGGCTACAGAGAAAAATCTTGAACCATCAACGCATGCAGATGAAGGTATCTCCCAAAACGTTAAATTAAAAAAACAAACAAAAAACCTTGACACACATGTAGAGAAAGAAACAATTTACAATAATTATAGAGAAAAAATAATTAACTAAAAGCAATTCAAAGCATTTTTGTAAACGATCTGTGGATAAGTTAAAATATCTATGGCACAAATTTTCACAAAAAAATTAAGGCGAAGACCAACATTTTATATAAAAATAGCTGGGCTGACTTCTAAAGAAGGAAATAAACATTGCTCATGATGACTCTGTTAATACGAGATTATAAATGCCCTTATATATACAGACAAAAATCAGTACAAATGTGTGGAATATTTCACTAGGCATCCATCTTTCAGTAAAGCCAAGACTGTATGTCCTAGACTATACTGGAGGTACTTCAAGATTTGTAGTAGTTCCCTTGCTACACATACTGGTACAAATAATAAAAATGCAACTTAAATACTGATTTTCACAGAGAAATTCCGTGATACGCTCAGGCTTCAACACTTGCCAAACTGGCCCAGAACAAAATGATGCTACTTTTAAGTCAGATTAATATCTTATGTTTTGCAATCCAACGGAAACCTCTATACAATARTGTCTAAACTGCCAGAGCACCATTTTTTTAAATCAAACCCCAGAACACCATTTTTTAAAATCAAACCGATGCCCCTATTGTAACTAAAACAGAAATTATGATGGCTGAAGAATTAGTATCTCTTCATAAATACAGCAGTTTATATGCCAAGATTAGAAATACCATTACTATGGGTATTGTGATGTATTTTCAAACCTAAAACGTAGCAATTTTGCAACGAGTTATTCTATAATCAGTATCTATATTGATGCATTTAATTTCAAAACTACATCATCAAATAGTAAGACTTACAAAAATAAGATAAAATTACATCTATTTTAGAAGAATTATATTAAGATTTCAATTGAAATACTTTTGTAGAGGCTAATATGATGACTGAGTTCAGTTTGTCTGTATATATTATAAATATGCCTGTGGATATGGTTCATACTTTCTCAGTAATTCTTAGAAATAACCACAGAAGTGACATGTTTCTATGAGAGAGAGAGCAATCTATCCCCACAGAAGTTAAGTGGATTTGCCGTGACTTTATCAACTTTGCCTCAGAAGATCCGAAAATAAAATGGAAGCTGTTGTCTAAGCTGAAGAAATTCTTCATTTTACTTTCATATTTTTCATAACCCATCTCCAAATCCTCACTTATTTTCAGCTGAAATGCCTCTTTGTACCTAGGTCCCTCCTGTGCATGTTTGAGGAGGTGTGCACAGTCCAGGAACCCTCCCAACACACAAATGTCACAGCAGCAGATTTGGTGAGCAGAAGTTACAGAAACATCTTCCTCCAGTGTGACCTTTAGTACAAAACATGGTCCACGTTTTCATTTAAACCTTAGTTTGCCTCAGCTTAATGCCAGCTTATAAGTCAAGATTGTTCCTATAAAGCCCCTACACATCTTATGCAAAAACAAAAGATGAAGCAAAAGCTGAAACAAAATTTATGAGGGCAAACCTATGAAAAGCATCAACTCTTGGAAAATGATAAATCCCATCCATTTTTGTTAAATCCCATCCATTTTTGTTACCTTCCAGGGGTGTGTTATTTGACTGTTCTCTCTCTCTCATAGAAATTCATGTATTACACTGAGAAATGTTATGACAATCCTCTAGAACCCGAACATTTCTCATCTCCATCATGGCAACAGTTGTACCAAAACAGGACCGCTAGCCCATTTACTGCCAGTTAATCACCGAGCCTAGGAATAATATTGGTCATCTGTAACATATGCTATTCTTTTCTCCCCAATACCACATCTTCATTATTTCTGTGTCAACAGCTTGGTTTTCAAGACAAATACATAAAATAGTACTAAAATTAAAAAAAAAGAGCCACTAATTTATCACAATTTTAACTAAAAAATAAGGACAAAATTGAAGAATGTGTATTGGAAATAATTTATTGCCTATAAAAAGTTTAAAAATTCTAAAGTTCACATTTTTGTGTGGTTTTAAAAGTGTTGTTACGTTTCAGAGGTAGTGTGTGTAAAGTTCAATACAGAATTTGAAAAGAATTATTTACTTAGTTCAGCAGTACAGTATAACGCTCATTATAGCCAAAGCAATGACCTGAAACCTTTTTTTTTTTTTTTTTTTAATGAACATTCTTATGAATTTCTGTCTTGGAGATGATGGTTCATTTGCTTAAAAACAACCGCCACCACCCCGTGCCGAAGCTTCTTCTCCCTTTGTGTCTGTTGTCTTCTGAGCAAAGTGCCAGCTGCTGGCGTACAGAGGAACATACTTCTTAGTCAGAATAAAACCCCATTCTGCCTTGGGAAAAAAAACACTTTTTTTTYCCCTCCATAACTTACGATTTAACATTTCACCAATGTACTGAAATATGAATTGGGCAGACAAGTCAAACACCATAAAGCAGCTTCTCCCCTGCTAATCACTAGCTAGTGTTTTCTCACAACCCACTGTCTATTTTGATCAGGCATCCCACAACCGATCAACTTATTAACTAAGATTTTGGCAGAAAAAGCACATTTGTGAAACAGAAGGTGAATATTGGAGAGCTGCCAGTCCCCTCTACGTAAAGCAGCCTCGTATCTCACTGGCCAACCTGAAGGGTTTGGGCAGTAGGACTGGAGGTAGTAAATTAAACTTTTGGTTGTAACATTACATGTTATTAATTCTTCATGTTTCAGGTATTCTGTGTRGTATTAGATTTTCACACGTTATTTTGTTTACTTTATCAGTATCCTGAGACCAAGCATCCGCTAGGACTAATACCTATAGAAAAAYCAGTGCTGTCCAATTCTTTCTCTTTAATATTATTAATATAGTAGTGCAATACAGAATCTACAATTAGATAGCTGACCAAATTTAGCAGTGATTTCCACAGCAAAGATGTTCATGACACTGTTGATTTGCCCTGTCACTCACTCCAACTGTGTAACCACAACAGTAGTTATCACTGTCTTGCCACTTGGTGAACAGGCTTGACGCGCTGCTTCCCAAATCAAAAAGATAAAAATACAAGTTAAATCATAACTAATATATTCCTTTTTTTTTTTTTTTTTTT